ACGGGGAGGGTGCTCGGTGCTCATCGTGGTTCGATTTGGTGCTCGGTGCTCATCGTGCTTTGGTTCGATTTGGTGCTCATAGTGGTTCGATTTGCTGGCCGGTGCTCATCCGTGCTCGGATCCGTGCTTCGTCTTCATTGCTGCTCATCGTGTTCGCTCCTTTGGTGCTTTCCTTGGTGCTCATTGCTCTCTCTCTCTCTCTCACACACACACACACACTGAGCTCTCCTTTGCTGCTCGACGGGGACTTGGTGCCGTGCTTGGATTCGTGCTCGTCCTCGATTCGTGCTCATCCTCGATCCGTCGTTTTGGTGCTCGGTGCTCATCGTGGATACGTGCTTTCCGTGCTCATCTTCTCTCCGTTGCTGCTCATTGTGTTAGCTCCTTTGGTGCTCGACGTGCTTTCCTTGATGCTCATTGCTCTCTCTCTCTCTCTTTCGCTCACACACACACACACACACACACACACACACACACACACACACACACACACACACACACACACACACTGTGCTCTCCTTTGCTGCTCGACGGGGACTTGGGTGCCGTGCTTGGATTCGTGCTCATCATTGATCCGTGGATCGTGCTTCGATTCGTGCTCTGTCCATTGGTGCTCATCGTGTTCTCTCCATTGGTGCTCATCGTGTTCTCTCCATCGTGCTCATCGAGGATCCGTGCTTTTCTTTGGAGCACGACCATGTGCTCATCGTGGATCGTGCTTTTCATCACCTGCTCATCGTGGATCTGTGCTTTTGGTCACGTGCTGGCCGTGGATCTGTGCTTTTCATGCTCATCATCGTGGATTCGCGCGGGAACTTTGGTGCCTGATAACGTGCTCATCTTCGATCCGTGCTTTGGTGGTCGGTGGTCATCGTGCTCGGTGCTCATCGTGGATACGTGCTTTTCATGCTCATCGTCGATCCGTGCTTTTCGTGCCATCGTGGATACGTGCTTTTCATGCTTGTCATCGATCCGTGCTTTTCGTGCCATCGTGGATACGTGCTTTTCATGCTCATCATCGATCCGTGCTTTTCGTGCCATCGTGGATACGTGCTTTTCATGCTCATCGGCGATCCGTGCTTTTCATGCTCATCATTGATCCGTGCTTTTCGTGCTCATCGTTGATACGTGCTTTTCGTACTCATCATCGATCCGTGCTTTTCATGCTCGGTGATCGCCGTGGATGCGTGCTCATTGTGAATCCATCCTGACGTGCTCATCGTGAATCCATCCGCCGGTGATCACCGTGGATGCGTGCTTTTCATGCTCGGTGCTCATCGTGAATCCATCSAGACGTGMTCATYATTGATCCGTGATTTTCATGCTCATCCAGACGTGGTCACCGTGGATGCGTGCTCATCGTGAATCCATCCAGACGTGCTTTTGGTGCTCATCATCGGCCCTCCCTTCTTCCTCCCTTTCTCCTTCCTTCTTCCCTCCGTCGCCTTTGCGCTCCTTCCTCCCTCCGGTGGCGTTACCTTCCTCGGCTCTCTGTCCTCCCTCCCTTCGTGCTACCTTATCTGGGAATGATATAGAGACTGCATTCCGTTTTTCTTAGCTTTCTCAATTTGCGTTAAACCACCACCACCTCCGAACCTGTTTTTGCCGACCCTGATTTTCACTGCGCACCGAGTTTGGCCGAGCCGGGGCAGTTTCATCGAAGAAAGAAGAAGGG